TGAGAATTTTAAGGATTCTTAAAATTAAGAGTCACAGCTCACATAGGCCTTAGGAGGTTGTGGGATTTGGACTATCCCAGTGAGAATCTGAATAAATACTTACACAGTCTAAGACCAACCTTGTGTTTTCTTAGAGGTGGGTGGGGAAGGGCTGTGCTTTCTTCTAACCACTTCTAACTTCCATAAGACTTGCGTCTGTGCAGAAAGGTCCTGCCCTGTCCTTGTGGAGAGGTTATTTAATGACTTGGCATCATGAAACTTGACCAGGCTTATCTGGCTTAATGCCACATTTATAGCAGGACACTGCTCTTGTTTCCGCCCTTAACCATCAGGGCTGGTTTTAGGAGGAATAAGTAAACAAAAGAAATAAGTGCTCTATTTAAAGCACTAATTTTATGTTGGTAAAAGTAAGACATTTAAAAAAAATAATTTATTATTTATTTTTTTGAGACAGGGTCTCGCTCTGTGGCCCAGGCTGGAATGCAATGGCGCGATCTCGGCTCACTGCAATCCCCGCCTCCCCGGTACAAGTGATTCTCCTGCCTCAGCCTCCTGAGTAGCTGGGACTACAGGCGGGTGCCATCTCTGGTCTCGATCTCCTAACCTCGTGATCCATCTGCCTTGGCCTCCCAAAGTGCTGGGATTACAGGTGTGAGCCACTGTGCCTCGTCAAAAAAAATTTTTTTTAAGGGTATAATTATAAGAGGATCAAGGTGAGAGGATCCCTTGAGCTCAGGAATTCGAGACCATGCTGGACAACATAGCAAATCACTGTCTATACAAAAAACCAAAACTTAGCCAGGTGTGGTGGCGCATGCCTGCGGTCCTAGCTACTCAGGACACTCACGTAGGAGGATCGCTTGAGCCTGGGAGGCGGAGGTTGCAGTGAGCTGAGATCATGCCACTACACTCCCTAGGTGACAGAGTGAGAACCCTGTCTCAAAAAAAACTGTGCAGTTTTGTATGTATATTTTATGATACCAATATAGTAAAAATTTTACCTATATTTTATATTCCATATTTTCATGATACCTATATAGTAAAAAATTTAATGATACCGATATAGTAAAAATTTAAAAAAGTATTTATGTAAGAAAACTCGAAAGAGACGGCAGTGTGAAAAGTCATTATGAAGAACTACTGGTGTCACAGATGCTCCCCCATCGTTTTTTATTTCTCACACTTTTCATAATGTGGGGTCATTATGCCTGTAAGGAGTTTTGAAAGCATAGAAGTCAGGGAGAAAAAATAAATGCAACTAGTCTACTTTATGATTAAAAATGAAAGAGAGAGAGAGAAGCAGGGGTAGGGTCGGACAAGGAGAGAGAGAGCAAAAAGGAGAAAAGTGGAATGAGATATTCTCAAGTATTGTCAGATTGTCAGAGAAAAAAACGACCTGGTGTAACTGTCTTGAAAAATTTTACACTCTTGACTTTCTTTTTTTTTTGAGATGATTTTGCTCTTGTCGCCCAGGCTGGAGTGCAGTGGTGCGATCTGGGCTCACCGCAACCTCTGCCTCCCGGGTTCGAGCGATTCTCCTACCTCAGCCTCCCGAGTAGCTGGGATTACAGGCACCTGCCGCCACACTCAGTTAATTTTTTTATTAAGATGGGGTTTCACCCTGTTAGCCAGGTTGGTCTCAAACTCCTGACCTCAGGTGATCTGCCCGCCTCATCCTTCCAAAGTGCTGGATTGCAGGCGTGAGCCACTGCACCCCTGCACCCCGCTAACTTTGACATTTTTGTCTTGAAGTAGTAGAAGATTTTTGTGCTTATTTTCAGTTTATGAATGAGTGGCGTTTGTGTCAACATGTTAAACAATGGAATAAAAACAAATGTAGTCTTTTTTTCTTCCGTGGAACTGTTTGAAATGCCGGAAATCTTCAGGCATGAAGCAACTGCTTCTCAGAGAACCACTCCAGGTTTGAGCTTGCAGGGCTATTTGGCAGAGGTGCCCACATTCTCTATTTGTCTAAGACAGAATTAGGTCACATGAACAACAAAGACACATTAAAGAAACCCCCTTCTAGGTTCAAAAGGAAGTGAGAAAAAATTGGTATAAATAAGAAACCTCTTTTTTTTTTAATTGTACTTTAGGTTCTGGGGTACATGTGCAGATCATGCAGAATTGTTGCATAGGTGCTTTTTAAACACATTAAAGTCTCCGTTTCTCAGCCTTTTTTTTTTTTTTTTTTTTTTTTTTTTTTAAACAGGGCCTTGCTTTGTCTCCCAGACTGGAGGGCAGTAACACAATCTTTGCTCACTGCAACTTCCGCCTTCCGGGTTGAAGAGATTTTCCTGCCTCAGCCTCCTGAGTAGCTGGGGTTACAGCCATGCACCATCACACCAGGCTTATTTTTGTATTTTTAGTAGAGATGGGATTTCACCGTGTTGGCCAGGCTGGTCTCAAACTCCTGACCTCAGGTAATACACCCACCTTGGCCTTCCAAAGTGCTGGGATCAGAGGCATGAGCCACTGTGCCCAGCCTGGTTTCAGACTTTTAATGTAAATATATTGTCTCAGGAAATGTTTTCGTTAGAAATTTCAAAAATATTCAACACATAAAATATACCAACAAATATATAGATATTTTGTTGACTAAGGTATTCACATATGAATTGCAAGAGGACTTCATTTCAACCATACAAGAAACAATTAATCAGGTTAATTCAATAGGAGCTAGAGCTGGATTGGCCTTTACAAATTATCTAGACCAGGGCTGTCCTGTACAACTTTTTGAGGCGATGGAAATGTTCTATCTCTATACTGCCAATGCTGTAGCCACTAGCTTCATGTAAGTACTTGAAATGTAGCTGGTGTGATTGAGAAACTGAAGTTTTAATTTAACTTAATTTCCATTAAGTAGCCACACATGGCCAGTGCTGTGTTGGCAGTCTCGATCTAGACTATCATGTTTATTTAGCAGATAAGGAAATCAAGAGAGAAGCTGAGAAGCTCAAGACAGCTGTCCCATATAGCATTAATAGTTTCAACCAATTTTCATGAAGGAGAGATTAGGGGAAAGAAGAAAGACAAATAAGTTGGATACGTTAGTGTTCAGAGACTGTTTCCTTATTCAACTTTTATTTTAAATCCCTTGAAATGCCCAGAAACCACCCACATAATGGGGGTGATGTGCAAGATTACCCAAATTGATTTCACCCCTCAAATCCACTCTGATTCTCACACTATGCATTTAGAAAGCACTTCATAGTTTTCAAATCATGTTCATCTATACAGTTTTCTCTCCTCATTTGCTCTTTTTTTTTTTTTTGAGACGGAGTCTTGCACTGTCACCCGGGCTGGAGTGCAGTGGTGAGTTCTAGGCTCACTGCAATCTCTGCCTCCCAGGATCACGTGATTCTCCTGCCTCAGCCTCCTGAGTAGCTGGGATTATAGACGCCCATCACCACACCCAGAGAATCTTTTCTATTTTTAGTAGAGATGGGTTTCACCATTTTGGCCAGGCTGGTCTCAAACTCCTGACCTCATGATTCACCCACCTCAGCCTCCCAAAGTGCTGGTATTACAGGCATGAGCCACCGCTCCCAGCCTCATTTGCGCTTTTCAAAATCGATGTCGTGTTGGAAGAGAAAATATCACCCCTACCCTACACCTGAGGTTCCAACAGGCCACATGAGCTGCACAGGTTCAGGTGACTAACAAGTGCAGCTGCAGGGGAAGGTTTTGAGTCTTAGTTCAGCCTCTTTCTGCTACACTTGGCTGCCTTTTATCTAAGTCCCTGAGAAGTGTTAAGATTTTGGAACATGCCTTCGTATTTAGGGTGAATTAGGAAAGCCCACAGAGCAGAAGCATCTTCCACAAAACATCCTCGTCTAGTGGAATCGTAGACTCCAGAATCAAGGGGATATGGGATTGGTAAGAGTCTGCCAAACTTACAGGTATAATTGGACAAGTTACTTAGCCTCTTTTAAACATCGCTTTCCATGTCGGTAAAATGAGGATAATCGTGGTACCTAAAAGACTTCTTGTGCAGATTAAATAATTCAAGTAAAGTGCTTTGTGCAGTACTTGTTAACAATAATTATAGATATTAATATAGAAAGAAGTAAGTCGTGTTTTGATTGCTTCCTGGGCCTATTTCTTGATTCAGAACTAGAAAACAGCAACTTTGTTGTTTTAGAATGCTTCTGAATCTTTTAGCCTTCTCACCATATTCTTCCTTCCTTCTACAGCTCCCGATTCCCCTTCTCCCACTACCATACCACCAAGAAAATGGGGCAGGCGCAGTGGCTCATGCCTGCAATACCAGCACTTTGGGAGGCTGAGGCAGATGGATCACGAGATCAAGAGATTGAGACCATCCTGGCTAACGCGGTGAATCCCCATGTCTACGAAAAATACAAAACTTAGCTGGGTGTGGTGGCGTGTGCCTGTAGTCCCAGCTTCTCGGGAGGCTGAGGCAGGAAAATCACTTGAACATGGGAGGCGGAGGTTGCAGTGAGCCGAGATCCTGCCACTGTACTTCAGCCTGGGCGAGAAAGTGAGACTCCATCTCAAAAAAAAAAAAAAAAAAAAAGAAAAAGAAAAAAAGAAAAAAAACGGAATTGAGTTTCCACCCCAGAAATCTCTCTTTCATTGCTGTAAACTTTGTAGGGCTCCAGGGGAAAGAGTGAGGCCTGTGGGATTTCAGAACCATTGACAGGTCCCCTGATGTCCATAGCATCATGGGAACAACAGTATAAAGCTGCATGCCCAATTCAAAGGAGTATATTTTGAAAGTTTTCTAAAATTGAACCTTTTCTCTCCATGAAAAGATTTTTTTTTTCTCACAGTCCTCCTATCCTTATCACTATAAAAATTGAGCCAGTTTCTGGCTGTGTCATGCTCAGAGTCAGGTTGAAGCCCCAGCTGAGGGCTTGGGGGAGTGGGTGGACGCGGGGCAGGGAGCTGGAAGAACACTCAGTAGACAGCAGGTAGATGAAACGTGGCTTTGTTCAGCAGCAGCGTTCACAGCTTTCTCACACTAGCTCTCTCACACGGTCTGCCCTGTCTCGGTTGCTTAGTCCAGCAGCTCCCACACACAGAGCTGCACAGCCGGCTCTCCCTTGCCTTCAGGGTCAGCAGCTTAACTCTTTCTCTGTCTGGGCACAAGTGAGCTGAGCTGTGTCCTGGCTCTTCCTGGCTCTACAAAGACGGACAGCTCTGGTTCTCTCTCTCTTTCTCTGGGTGCCAGCACACCTGTATAGTGTCAGCAGGGCAATTATACCTTTTACAGACAATACCGACTTAGAGCAAAGGGATGGCCTTCCCACATTGAGGCTACATGGCTGTGATATATGCCTGCACTTTAAACTCCCTGAGTCACACATCCTACCTTGGCCTATCCTTGAACAAAGCACAGCTATGTTCCTTACAGGCTATTACTAACAAGTCAAAAAACATGCCAGGCATGATGGCTCATGCTTATAATCCCAGCACTTTGGGAGGCCAAGGTGGGTGGATCACCTGAGGTCTGGAGTTTGAGACCAGCCTGACCAACATGGAGAAACCCCGTCTCTACTAAAAACACAAAAAAATTAGCTGGGCGTGGTGACACATGCCTGTAATTCCAGCTACTCAGGAAGCTGAAGCAAGAGAATTGCTTGAACCCGGGAGGCAGAGGTTGCAGTGAGCTGAGATCACACCACTGCATTTCAGCCTGGGCAACAGAGCAAGACTCTGTCTCCAAAAGAAAAAAAAAAAAAAAAGTAAAAAAATAACAGATGCTGGTGAGGTTGCAGAGAAAAAGGAACACTTAGACACAACTGGTGGGAATGTAAATTAGTTCAGCCATTATAGAAGACAGAGTGACGATTCTTCAGAGACCTAAAAACAGAAATACCATCCAACCCAGTAATCCCATTACCAGGAATCTACCCAAAGGAATCTAAATCATTCTATCATAAAGACATGTGCATGTGTATGTTCACTGCAGCACTATTCACAATAGAAAAGACATGGAATCAACCTAAATGTCCATCAATGGTAGATTGGATAAAGAAAATGTGGTATGTATACATCATGGAATACTATGCAGCCAAAAAAAGAACAAGATCATGCCCTGTGCAGGAACATGGATGGAGCTGGAGGCCTTTATCCTTAGCAAACTAACACAGGAACAGAAAACCAAATACTACACATTCTCACTTATAAGAGCGAGCTAAACGATGAGAACACATGAACGTATACAGGGGAACAATAGATACCGGGGCCTATTGGAGGGTGGAGGGTGGGAGGAGGGAGAGGATCCCAAAAATAACTAATGGGTACTAGGCTTAACAACTGGGTGACAAAATAGCCTGCACAACAAATCCCCTGACACAAGCGTACTTCTGAACTTAAAATAAAAAATTTTTATTTTAAAATTTGAGCCAGTTTCAGAATGGATAGGAGAAATGAGCCTGAACATAAAGCCTGTCTCCAATTCAGAAGGGGATCCAATAAGCTCCTCTTCTCCTTCTCTAGCCATCCTGTGGCCTATGGCTCTTCCATAAGCTTTGGAGTGTTCATGATGGATCCAAGAAATCTTGGCGTCAAGGATATCATTTGGATCTATACATTTTCTCCCTAATGGTCAAGCCCTAGTGTGAGAGAAAAACACCCAAATCACATAAATCCTACACACAAAATAGAAGAAAATTGAAGACATTATTTTAAGTTAAAATAGAATGCAAATGATAACCTGTTCCCTATCTGGTGAGACAAAATACACAACACTGGAAAACTGTAAAAGTACAACCAGGGAAGAAAATCTCTGCTCTGTAATTTGGGTGAACATAGCTCATCCTATATCCATGAATTGCCATCCTTTTAAAAGCACTCCAAATCAATATGCTCTCCCCTTGGAGATTATTCAGATGAGCAGAATAGTTGTAAAATGCTTCTTTGGCTAATATGAATGATGACAAGAGAAGGTTATAGTATCATTAGGGCACCAGTCTCAACAGAACATAACAAATACCTCATAATTACTGCAAGCAGTGAAGTGCCATCTTCTCTATTCTGATCAGAGATTGTATTTTTGTTCTTGTTAAAAATTTGTATCACAGCAGGAGTGTGGATAGATTCCTAAAAAGCAATTTTAGCAATCTGGAAAAACTATTATGGTTAAAGTCTGCACTGACATAACTAAGAACACAGTTTTCATCTCCACATGGGCCAATAAAATAAAAAGTTGACTTCACATTTATAGACTGGGTCCCCAACTGGGAGCAGGCTTTTAAGCATTGTGCGGCACAGGACATAAAATGCCTGGGCTGCGGAATGTTTATGGTTCATACTGCCTGTCATAATTACTGGAAAAAGCAACACAAAGAGCTTGGGCTTACACTTGAAGGACAGCGCATTATTAATATGGTGAGAAAGCTCTAGATCTGGGTTTAAGCTTTTGCGGCTCACCAGCTGTGTGACCTTGAACCTCTGAACTATGGCTTTGCCATGAGGAAGACAGACATCATCATAGCTTTTCAGCTAGGCATGGTAATCCCAGCACTTTGGGAGGCCGAGGTGGGTGGATCACAAGGTCAAGGGATGGAGATCATCCCGGCCAACATGGTGAAACCCGTCTCTACTAAAAATACAAAAGTTAGCTGGGCGTGGTGGCATGCACCTGTAGTCCCAGCTACTCAGGAGGCTGAGGTAGGGGAGTCTCTTGAACCTGGGAGGTGGAGGTTGCAGTGAGCCGAGACTGTGTCACTGCACTCCAGCCTGGTAAGAAACCGAGACTCTGTCTCAAAATAATAATAATAGCTTTTCTTCCGTTATCACAAGGTAATTGTGGGAAATACACAAAAGAATGAATGAGAAATCTTGTTGTAATGGTAAAGTGCTTAGACAAGCAGAAGATACTATTAATATTTACAGCTTAAATGCTGAGATTTTAAAAAATAGCTGCTGTTGTATGTTTGCTGTGTGGTCCCCCTGGGGTAGCTTGAAAAAATATGGGCTGCATTTCTGTTAGGATGGCATTTAGACCTCCACTTCATCAAAGTCAGGAAGAAACTTTCATAAATTCTTCTTCCTTACTGAAATAGAAATCCCCTATGTCTCCAGTGGCACGTTATCATCAAAAAATACTGTTATGATCAATAGTCATGAAGCAAAGTTGATGGCCACTTCATAATCATCCTTCCACGTAAGTTACATTAAAAACAGCATTGCAAGTAGCACCTGCAAGACAAGGCTGCCTTCTAGAGAAGTTATTTTTAGTTGAGACGGCGCATGCCAGTGCCTCCTGATGAGCTGTAAAATACCCACCAAAAACAGGGGCGAGGCCAGGCATGGTGGCTTATCCCTGTAATCCCAGCACTTTGGGAGCCCGAGGCAGGTGGATCACCTGAGGTCAGGAGTTTGACACCAGCCTGGTCAACATAGTGAAACCCGTCTCTACTAAAAATACAAAAAATAATCAGGCGTGGTGGTGGGTGCCTGTAGTCCCAGCTACTCTGGAGGCTGAGGCAGGAGAATTGCTTGAACCAGGAGGCGAAGCTTGCATTGGGTTGAGATCATGCCACTGCATGCCAGCCTGGGTGACAGAGTGAGACTCCATCTCAAAAAACAAACAAACAAACAAAAAACACCAAAGCAAAGAAAAGCAAATAAAAAACAGGGGCAAGCATTGCTTTGCTTTCTGTTTTACATCCATCCCTGAGTTGTAAATATTAAAATCACAAACACAGATATGCTCTTACTTTTCTTTTATCTCCTTCCATTAAATTAAGCTTTCGTTTGAAAGCCGCACAAGAGCTCAGATATTGCCTCTAAGAAATTAAGCGAGGTGCAGAGAGAAGCCCTTCAGTTAGAGTAACCTGGGAGGGTGAGGGGGGCGGGAGCTTCTTGAATCTATAAATATTGGCACGGCTGAAATCCTCAACAATTTAAAATACTGAGGAGAAAATGCCATATATAGTGAGAAATAAAGGATAGAAAACACTTCGACCAGGGACTAACAACAGCAAAAGGAGAGAAATCTCAGTCAACTGGGACAATTAGTTCAAAATCAGGCTGGGTTGGTGCTAAGCCACAAACACTAGCCTTGCAAAGCTTTTAAATCTTTGCAGGGCTTCTGGGTACCAAGCTGGAGGATCAGCCTCCAGGCCATGAGACGTTCTGCCCTGGGGAGGAGAATCAGATAAGTGAGGCCAAGTAGAAAGACAACTTTCCACTCCTCTAAGGATTCATGCCAAACATATTCTCCCTGGTCCTTTAAACAGAAAAATCTCTAGTTTCTTGAGATAAAATGTATGGTCACTGCATAAATTGCTGATATGAGGAAAAGAACAGGAGTAGTCTTTTTGCTAAGGGAGTCTGTCCTTCTTCAGGGAAAACTTCTATTTTGATTCATTTCTCATGAGAGGAGAGAGGGGTGCTCACCTATTTTTTTTTTTTTTTTTTTTGTATAGATTCTGTGCTCATTCATTCTCTGATAGCTGTTGTTGAGCAAGCTCTGAATGAAGAGACCACCTAAACAATAACTTGTTTGTGTAAGCAACAAGGCTGGTTATTCACTTGGGTGCAAGTGGGCTGAGTTGGAAAAGAGAATCAGCAGAGGACGGTGGGATAGGAGCTGGTTTGGGATAGGCAGTGGAAAGTTACAGTTCAGGGCAGTTTTTTCAAGTGGGGTGGGGGGTTGTCATAGGGTCCAATGTCACAAGGTTGGCTTATCAATTGAGGCAGGAACAATGGCAGAATGTCACAAGGTCAGTTAATCAGGCGCTGCAGGAACTAGCTGCTATTCTTTTATGGTTTCCCTGTTACCTCAGACTTTCTGGGTCCAGGAGGCCAACTGGAGGTGTACATGCCGATCACAGGGGTCACCATGGCTTAACTATGGTGTGGCCCATGGTGCAGTCAGTTCAAAGGACTTTACAGCTTTCACTCAAACATGGACTTAGCCCCTGGAGCCTGGGGAAACATAAAGAAAGAGAATCTCAGTCTATTTTATTTATTTATTTTGTTTTTTGCTTTTACTTTTATTTATTTTTCTGTATTTTCTTTTTTTTTAAATTGTGTGCTTTTATTTTTTGAGAGGGGGTCTTGCTCTGTCACCCAGGTGGAGTGCAGTGGCACGATCTTGTCTCACTGTATCCTCCCCCTCCCAGGCTCAAGTGAACCTCCCCCTCAGCCTCCTGAGTAGCTGGGACTACAGGTACATGCCACCACACTTGGCTATTATTTTGTGTTTTTGGTAGAGACTGGGTTATGCCATTGTTGCCCAGACTGGTCTCAGACTCTTGAGGTCAAGCGATCCGCCTGCCTTGGCCTCTCAGAATGTTGGGGTTACAGGCGTGAGCCACTGCACCAGGCCTGAGAATCTCAACAAATTTTAAATAAGATTCTTTTACTTGGGGTGGGTATTAAAAATATTAATTGAGAAGAATGTATGTATATACAAATGTAAATGTGTATGTAGGAAAATACATATATGAGTTGCATGCAAATGTCTGCTGACACCAAACGCCCTTCAGAAACCAGAAAACTATCCCATGAATGAAAAAGAGGCGGGAACCAGTGTTGGTTTGGGCTAGATTTTGCCTTAGAAAGTCAAGAAGGGACTAAATTAGATTCTGCACAAACCAGGCCTATTTAAAATGCTCAAATATTTGGAGTCCAAAATAATTCAGACTGGGCCTACAGAAACAAGCGAAATTGAAGCAGATTTATTGAAACATTCTTTTTCTCTCTATGAAGGGAAAATACATCTCAGGACCCTCAATTCACTCAACCAAGGGAAAAGTCAAGCTGGGAACTGTGTCATGCAAACCTGCCTTCTATCTGATTCCTAAGTAAGATAGCTGCAAAGATAAAAGAGCTACCTATCTCCGCAGGCTGGGCATGGTGGCTCACACCTGTAATCCCTAGCACTTTGAGAGAGTAAAGCAGGCAACCACCTGAGGTCGGGAGTTCGAGACCAGCCTGACCAACATGGAGAAGCCCCATCTTTACTAACAATACAAAGAAATTAGCTGAGCATGGTGCATACCTGTAATCCCAGCTACTCAGGAGGCTGAGACAGGAGAATCACTTGAACCCGTGAGGCGGAGGTTGCGGTGAGCCGAGATTGCCATCGCACCCCAACCTGGGAGACAAGAGGGAAACTCCGTCTCAAAAAAAAAAAAAACCTACATACCTCCCTCACAATTTCACAATTTGCCCACAAGGAAATTCCTGTGGGTCTCAAGATCTTTACCCTAAAACAGTTCTGTTGAATTTCACCCTGGCAATGGAAACTGACAGCTTACCTTCACTTCCCCAGACAGAAAGTCATCCCTCTGCTCACCTGAGACAAATGCCTATCTGATGGCTGCCTCTGCCCTAGTGTTTACCTAAAAATGCAGATTCACTGAGCTAGACTAAACTGTGTTTTCAGTGAAAGGCTGATCAAGGACTCAAAAGAATGTAACCTTTTGTCTCTTTCATCTAGCCTGTGTGACCTGGAAACCACTACCCCATTCTTCTAATTGTCCCTCCTTTCTGGACTGAACCGAACCGATGTACATGTTACACGTACACATGCTGATTGACGTCTCATGTCTCCCATCTCCCTAAAATGTGTGGAAGCATGCTGTACCCCAGCCACCATGGGCACCTGTTGCCAGGACCTCCTGAGGCTGTGCCATGGGCATGTCCTTCACTTTTCTAAATAAACTTCCTAAGTTGATCAAGACCTGTCTCCAATCCCAGATAGTTTGGGTTCACATCTCTAAGGCTCAGCTGTGATTTTTCTTGTGAACTGGGCTTCATTTATTAAACACAGATTCGTTAACTGTTTACTAAGCACCAGGCCCTGTACTCACTGCTGGAGTTCAATAGTCAAGAAGATATCATGGCTGTTGTCCCCAGGAAGTTGTAATCTCTCCAAGGAGGTAAATAGTATGTAAATAAATTCATAATAATGATTTAAGCATAGTTAAGAAAGTAGTTCATTTTGGATGGGCGCGGTGGCTCATGCCTGTAATCCCAGCACTTTGGGAGGCCAAGGCAGGCGGATCACGTGATCAGGAGATGGGGACCATCCAGACTAACATGGTGAAACTCTGTCTGCACTAAAAAATACAAAAAATTAGCTGGCCGTGGTGGCATGTGCCTGTAGTCCCAGTTGCTCGGGAGGCTGAGGCAGGAGAATCACTTGAAACCAGAACAGAGGCTGCAGTCAGCTGAGATCACGCCACTGCACTCCAGCCTGGGCAACAGAGCAAGACAGAGATTCCACTTCAAAAAAAAAAAAAAAAAAAAAAAAGAAAGAAAGAAAATAAATAAATAAATAATTTTATTTTGATTAATCACCTCTTTAAATGCCCTAGCTTCTAATATAGTCACATTTTCAGGTACTGGAGGAGGTAAGGGCTTCAGTATATGAATTTTGGGGGAACACAGTTCAACCCATAACACCTCCTGATCCTGGTACATAGTTTTGGTCCTGAGAGGTGATGAATGGGATTCAGAGAATCCATAGACTGCTGGTTTAGGGGTGAGGGGCACCTCCCACCTGCTCCCAGAGCTCAGTGGTGAAACGGACCAGGCTTCATAGGAACTTTTAACGTTCTGCATTTCCTTCCCATTGTTTCCTAATATTCAACAGAAATAGATCTGAGTTTTAATCCTGTTCCGACAGAGAGAGATAAACATGGCATGCTGCAAGAATTCATAAGAGAAAGATATTACTTGTGTTTGGTGGGTCACAGAAGCTCTGCCTAAGAGGTGAGATGGTTGATGGGCCTTGGAGAATGTGCAGCAGGTGGATGTGAAGAAATTAGAGCATCAGAGGCAAGACAAAAGCGTGGATGCAGGAGCATGTCTTGTGTATGGAGGTTATTCCTTGTGAATCTGTTGTATTTGAGGCATTTGGTATGTTATCGCTTTGAATTTCCCCAGAACCTGTGTGAGCTAAGCTAAACAGGAATTTACACAGTTTATTCTTTTCAACAACAAAGATACAAAAGCTGAGAGACGTTGAAAAGCCATTGAGTGACAGTGAACCTGTCTGACTTCAGCGTTCTTCCCACACATAGGCACTTGTGTTTTCTTTTTTTTTTTTGAGACGGAGTCCCGCCAGGCTAGAGTGCAGTGGTGTGATCTTGGCTCACTGCAACGTCTGCTTCCCAGGTTCAAGCAATTCTCTTCCTCAGCCTCCCGAGTAGCTGGGATTACAGGCACCCGCCATCACACATGCCTAATTTTTGTATTTTTAGTAGAGATGGGTTTCACCATCTTGGCCAGGCTGGTCTTGAACTACTGGCCTCGTGATTCACCAACCTTGGCCTCCCAAAGTCCTGGGATTACAGGTGTGAGCTACTGCACCCAATGAAGGTCCTCTATTTTTAAGGCTCACATAATTAGTTTGGGGTTACCTGATAACCCATGATAACCTCCCCATTTTAAGGTCTACACCTTAAATTATATCTGCAAAATCTTGTTTGCCCAGGAAGGTAACATATCCACATGCTTCAGAATTAGGGTATAGACATCTTTGGGGCCTTTCTGCCCATGACAGCGCTAGTGAGAGGGCAGCATCCCTAGAGACTTGAATTCCAAGGACCAGGCAGAGGAAGCGTGAGGAAGATCCTTTAGAGATGTTTTGGCAGCTGGATAGCCTATCAACAAATGAAAAGGTGTTTAACTGGAGCTTTAAGAGAAATTCATCTTAAAAATACACGAAAGCCTGTACATGAAGGTCACAGCAGCTTTATTTGTAACAGCCGAAAGCTGGAAGTGACTCAGATCTCCGAAAATGGGGGAACAGTTAAATATAGCACATCCACACCATGGAATGCTGCTCAGCCGTAAAATGAAAGAACTCTTGATATATGGGTCTCAAGGGAATTGTTTTGAGTGAGAAAAGCAAATTCTAAAAAGTTGCATACTATACGGTTTCATTTAGACAATGTTCTTTAGATAAAAGACATTATAAACACGGATCCTAGATGAGTGGCTCTCAGGAGTTAGGGATGGGAGGGGAAGGTGGAGGAGAGGATGGATGGGAGATAGGTGACATAGTTGGACATAGCAACATTAGGAATCCTGGGGCTGATGGAAATGTTCTGTATCTTGTCTACCAGCTTACACAGGTGATAACAATTGTGCAGAACTAAAGACACGCACGAATGAGAATAAATGAAATGGGGAAGTGGAAATGTGATCAGTGGATTGTACCTATATCACTGTCCTGAATGGGATATTGGACTATAGTTTTGCGGGATCTGGCCAGTGGGGAAGACTGGGCAGAAGGCTCAAGGCATCTCTCTGTATTGTTCCTAAATGCATGTGAGTCTACAGTTATCTCAAAAAGTTTAATTAAAAAAATGATACAACAGGCTGGGCGTGGTGGCTGAAGCCTGTAATTCCAGCATTTTGGGAGGCTGAGGAGGGCAGATCACTTGAGGTCAGGAGTTTGAGAACAGCCTGGCTAACATTGTAAAACCCTGTCTCTACTAAAAACACAAAAATTAGTCAGGCATGGTAGCATGTGCCTGTAATCCCAGCCACTCGGGAGGCTGAGGCAGGAGAATTGCTTGAATCCAGGAGGTGAGGGTTGCAGTGAGCTGAGATTGTACCACTGCACTCCAGCCTGGATGACAGAGTGGGACAGTCTCCAGGCACATGCTACCAAAAATATATATATATATATATACACACACATATATGTAACAAAATGCATTTCATACCCACCAGGTTGACAAAAATTTTACAGTTGGATAATAAGTGTGGGCAAGGATGTGAACCAACAAGAACTTTCATCTGCTGCTGGTGGGAAACATCTTTGAAAACCATTTGCAAAGTCTGCAGCAGTACAAAGGTCTACATTGTTCCCCATTTGTTGGGTGCTAATTCTTCTCTCTTCTGCTGCCATGTGAAGAAGGACGTGTTTGCTTCCCCTTCTGCCATGATTGTAAGTTTCCTGAGGCGTCCCCAGCCCTGCAGAACTGTGAGTCAATTAAACCTCTTTCCTTTATCAATTACCTAGTTTCAGGCAGTTTTGTTTGTTTGTTTGTTTGTTTGTTTTTTGAGACAGAGTTTTGCTCTTGTTACCCAGGCTGGAGTGCAATGGAGCGATCTCAGCTCACAGCAACCTCCACCTCCTGAGTTCAAGCAATTCTCCTGCTTCAGCCTCCCCAGTATCTGGGACTATAAGCACATGCCACCATGCCCAGCTAAATTTTTTTGTATTTTTAGCACAGACAAGGTTTCACCATGCTGACCAGGATGGTCTCGATCTCTTGACCTTGTAATCCACCTGCCTCAGCCTCCCAAAGTGCTGGGAACACAGGTGTGAGCCACAGCGCCCGGCGTCAGGCAGTTCTTTATAGCAGTGTGAGAATGGACTAATATAGTTTTAAACAGTCATTTTTGGAAAATGCTCAATCTTTTGGATGGCCTTTTTCTTCTTCCTCTCTGGGTGGAGGAGCCTGGGAGTGCAACATGGTAGCCGCAGGGGAAAAGGGCTCTCCTCTAGACCCTTGGGCTGTCCTCTGGAGCTTCCTGGCATCCATGGGGGAGCTGCTGCTCTGGGCTGGCCCCAGGGCCTTTCACCACTGTCCATGAGGTCAACATGAGAACTTCTTTCTGGTTGGTTCTTGGCTACAACAAGCCCTGGTGGGTTTCCCAGCTAATGCCACCCCACAGGACCCTAGGAGTTCTAGAAACTGCTCTGAGTTTAGCTACATTTCTGTCAAATCTCTGAGGCCTCTTCAGGAGGGATGTGCTTTTCTCTGGCCGTGACAGCTCCCAGGCCAGGCCTGCTGCTCTCTGTGCGGTGACCTTCGTCCCCATTCTGGGGCGAGAAAGAACTTTCCTTCATGTCATACAGGAGCTGAGGGCAGCTTGGGCCAGGTCCCCGAAGCTCTCTGTGCCTAACCACGTGCTCCTGCCCCTTTCCCTTGGCTGCAGCGGAAGCTGTCCCCAACAAGTTGACAAGAATTGCGTGCTGGATTCTGGACAGAAAATAGTAAGTATTAACCAGGGCGCTCTTCCTTTTTGCCAAAAATCATGTGGTGCTAGATCCTGACCATTTGCATCCCTATTATTTCTATAGATAGAATCTCTGACATTAGAATCATAAGGCTTTAGCTTAAGAATCACTTAAGAGGCAGGAGAATTGCCTGAACCCAGGAGGCGGAGGTTGCGGTGAGCCGAGATCGCGCCATTGCACTTCAGCCTGGGTAACAAGAGCGAAACTCCATCTCAAAAAAAAAAAAAAAAAGATACTTTTCAGACCCTGAATTCCGGCAACAACTTTGACAACTCCTGCAGAGAAACAGGATCCGCATAAGGACACAGCTTCATCATCTCCCTGTCCCACTACTTCACCCTGCATTCTTCAACCAATCAATGATCTCCACACTTCAGCCCACTCCCAAACCCCCAAAAGCCCTAGCCCCAAACTGCTTGGGGAGATGAACGTGAGGTTTCCTGCCATCTCCTTCAGTGACCCTGAGATTACACCTCTTTCTCTGCTGCAACCTGGGGTCTCAGAGTATTGACTTACTGAGTGCATCAGGCAATGAACCTATTGATCTACAGTTGCCCGTGTGGTCTGGAGCCTGTTTGCACAGGAGACTCCCTCACATGGAGCCCTCTGTTTCTGGCTTTCTTCTTCCTTTTTATGTGATGCTGTCCGCTTTCTGGATTCATGCCTGAAACGGAGCTGTCTCCCCAAATGTGTCCGACCCTTATCTCCTGACGTGGTGCCTCAAAATATGGCACCTTGGAAATTGAAAAAGCAGAAGCAAAAATGCTACCTCTTTTTTTTCTATTTTTTTTTTCTTTTTTTGAGACAGAGTCTTGCTCTGTCACCCAGGCTGGCGTGCAGTGGTGCGATCTTGGCACATTGTAACCTCTGCCTCCTAGGTTCAAGTTATGCTCCTGCCTCAGCCTCCCGAGTAGCTGGAATTACAGGCCCCTGCCACCATCAGTGGCTAATTTTTTGTATTTTTAGTAAAGACGGGGTTTCACCATGTTCGAGACCAGGCTGGTCTCAAACTCCGGGCCTCAAGTGATCCACCTGCCTTGGCCTCCCAAAGTGCTGGGATTATAAGCATGAGCTGCCACACCGGGCCTACCTCACCTTTTTCTGGCCCTTCTTCTCCGAATCAAGTCATAAAACCTAGGAAGGTCACTCTCCAACCTTGCCGTCCTCCTCCCCTGAAAATCCTCACATGACAGCTGTCCTGCCCTATTCCCATGGGGAAAAAATGTCACGCATGAAGGCCAAGAGGAATATGAACAAGCAAGTCTTGCTAAATTCCCACCCCCAAGTTCATTCCCTCAAGAGAACCCCCCTCTCCAAGTGTGCTTCTGCCTGGCTGTCCATGAAAATCCACACACCTCCCGCTTCTTTGGGTCTTCATTTTCTGAAAGCTCCCGTGTCACATGGAACTTACATTAAATAAATTCCTGTGTGCTCTCTTGTTCATCTGTTTTTTGTTATTTGAGTCTTAGCCGTGAGCCTAGTACTGGATGAGAAAAGATATTACCTTTTCTCCCCTACACTTTCCAACCCCTGCCTCACCCTCTGGGGGCAGAGGGGTGGGCCCAGTATCTTCTCTTACCCGGCAGTCACTTCTCCTTACCTGGCTGTCACTTCTTCCCCATTTCCTCCTTCTCTGACCCGCCTTCACTTGCACATCAATGGCAGTTGAAAAGCAGGCCTAGAAACTGCCTCAGAGGAAGGGAATATCTAGAAGGTTTAGACTCCTTACATTAATTTTTAAAATTTTTAATTAATTAATTTTTGATGGATTTGCACTCCTGTCGCCCAGGCTGGAGTGCAGTGGTGCCATCTCAACCCACTGCAACCTCCAACTCTCAGATTCAAGCGATTCTCCTGCCTCAGCCTCCCCAGTAGCTGGGATTACAGAGGCACACCACCATGCCCAGCGAATTTTTGTCTTTTTAGTAGAGACGGGGTTTCACCATGTTGGCCAGGATGGTCACGAACTCCTGACCTCGTGATCCACCTGCATCGGCCTCCCGAAGTGCTGGGATTACAGGCAGGAGCCACCTCGCCCAGCCAATTTTGGGGCAGGGCGCGGTGACGACATCGCCCACCATACCCGGACCTCGCCCACGCTGGTTCTGTTGTTTCCTTACACTAACTTTTGAACATTTAAGAGTTTTAAAAGCTAATTGGTCCAAGGACACTTCTGCCTTACGTTCTTGCACGTAAGCCCATTTCAAGATGCTAAGAAGAAAGTAAGTTTCTTCCCAGATCCCTCCCTTGTGAAACAACATTGGCAGCCCTTCAGCCTTCCTGGGTCTGGGCTTTGATCTTTCTGCTCGCCCGAGGGGAGGAAAGTTAATGGCTAAGAGCTCAGAACTTAGACTTGTAAATGAGGAGCTTTCTCCCTTGCATGGTAATCAGGCAGGCTATTTGACCTTCACTTGACACTCAGAAGTCAAAACACACTCCAGACAATTCAAGAGTCAAGTGTAAAAGGATACCAGACACATAGAATTAGGTATTTGTATATTTACAACATCTGGAGGGGTAAAGGCTTAATAAACTTAGAAGTGGTAGAAGGCATAAAGAAAATAATGGGCCAATTTATCTGCATGAAATTAATTTTTAAATGAATTTGCTTTATTCGAACTGGCTGTTAGTGAAATTGGTCACAGGCAAATTGGCTTTTAAATGAATTGGTTTGAGAGAAACTGGCCAGCACTTTCTCGGGAATGGCTGCGGGAACAGAGCCAAGAGAGAAATATGTGAATAATGGCTATCTTTGTTGGAGGCAAAGACAGGATTGGTGGCTGACTAGATACAGCAGGCACGCAGGATGGAAGAGTCCAGAATGAACGGGAGGTTTCTGAGCCCAGGTAGCTGGGAGGGTAGTGGAACTAATTAACCCAAGTAGGAAGCAAAGCGAGAGGAGAAGACTTGGTCCTCAGAGCTGATATCACATAGGTCATCTGTCATCTAACTTTTGCCTGCGTCAGAATTACCTGGAGAGTTTGCTAAATGCATATCGCTGGGCACATCCCTGGAGTTGCTGATTCAGTTGGTCTGGGTTGGAGCTTGAATTTGCATTTCTTTTTTTTTCTTTGAGACGAGGTCTTGCTCTGTCACCAGGCTGGAGTGCAGTGGCATGATCTTGGCTCACTGCAACCTCCACCACCCAGGTTCAAGTGATTTTCCTGCCTCAGCCTCCCGAGTAGCTGGGATTACAGATATGTGCCACCATGCCTGGCTAATTTTTTGTATTTTTAGTAGAGATGGGGTTTTGCCATGTTGGCCAGGCTAGTCTCAAACTCCTGACCTCAGGTTATCCACCCACTTCGACCTCCCAAAGTGCTGGGATTACAGGTGTGAGCCACCGTGCCAGGCCTTGAATTTGCATTTCTAAAAAGTTCTTAGGTGGTGCTGACGCTACTGAGCCTGGACCTCACTTGGAGAATCACCTTCTGGTTTGGGGATGAAGGTGGTGGGTAGTGTCCAGCAGAGAGTTGTTACTGTGGACCTGGAGCCTGGGAGAGAGATCAGGGCCAGATGTAAGGACAATTGTATTCATTCCCTGTAAAGCTTCCCATCGGTGTGCCAGTAATGAGCTGACGGGCCCAAATATTGATTATACACTAGGGTGGGGGCTGGGCAGGGGCTGGAGAGACCAACGCCCCCAGGACAATTGTCTTTGGCCTGAGCAGCTGCTTCCATTTATCCCCGAATGCATACAGGCATTATCGTTTTTCTAATGGAAGCAGTAATATGAAAAACTAAAATGTTGAAAAGCACTGATTTACTGAGCACTTAATCTGTGGCAGGCCAAAGTGTTATTCCTATGA